TATATATATATATATATATATATATATATATATATATATATATATATATATATATGGTTAAAAAATGAGTGGTTTCTAATTTATAATGATCAATACAATAAAAGAGACTTAAAAATGTGATAGGAATTTAAATTCTGATGGTACATGAAGTGAAAAACATTAATGATCTCATGTAAATTATTATTTTTGTGTGTGTGTGTGTATATGAGTTTTAAATTGCAGCCGTTATGTCGGACATTTGTGGGCGACATGTCGGATTTGGGGACTTACTACAAGGAAATCTCAATTTTCATATCATATGGCATTTTTGACCGAATATCAGGGATATGTAGGTGCATATCGGAAATTGCGTCCGACATTGCGGCTTAAATTGTGGCCTAAATAGCGACCAGTGTTTTTTTTTTAAATTGCAACTTTCAGGTTTGGGTTTATATCACTACAATACACCTTGTCACATGCGTATATAAACAAGTTGTGCAAATAAAAGTTATTATGTTGTAATACATCACGACTTCTTTTACTTTTAACATGTGAAAGTTTCAGTTGAGCTTTTGCAGTTGAGATTCAAGAATGTTATTAACTCATAATTAGAGGCATCTTCTATATAGAAGTGAATGTTCATGCTTCAACAATTAGAAGTTCATGCTTATATTACATTTTAGAACATTATATCAAATATCACTTCATTCGATTTGACACTATTTACTACATATCCCAGATATTTTCCTGATTTCCACAATCCGTATAAATTTTGACCTTCCGACATACCCCAACATCTGCTACTTTAAAAACCTTTATATATATATATATATATATACTTTTTTTGTATAGTTATATATATACTATATACTATAGATATATTTAGAGCAGCAATATGGGTATGCTTTCGGTACCAAGCACAAAAGTTATGCTGGTAGTGATGTGAATCACATCCCCTCCACTCATTCAAATATGGGACCACCATTCACCATGCGGTATGTGAGTGGATGAGGATGTGACACATCACTTACCAAAGCACAAATTTGTGCTTCTAGTGGTACCAAGCATACCCATTTTCTCATATATATATATATATATATATATCATATATATATACTAATATATATATATTTATAATATTTATATATATATCCCCGTACTATACATTTTACAATTTTGTCGTGTCTCATTACCTACATCGGCTACATCATACCAGCTACCATGGTACCCATTTCCATGCAACTTAGATTTAGAAATCTAAATTTGCTAGTTTTGAATACTTTTCTTTCCCTTTTTGGTTAGATTCATAGCCGGATACCTTTTCATGGAATGCTTTTGGCCAGAGTCTCAATTAGAAGAAATGCATGCCCATCAAGTATAAGTAGATAATAGTATATATATTATATATATATATATATATATAATATACTATATATATATAGTATATATACTTATATATTAATATTATATACTAACCTATATATAACCGTACCCTACATTTTACAATTTTGTCGTGTCTCATATCTACATCCATACCAGTACTTGTACCCATTTCCATGCAACTTAGATTAGAAATCTAAATTTGTAGTTTTGAATACTTTTCTTTCCTTTTTGGTAGATCATGCCGATATCTTTTATGGATGTTTGGCCAGAGTCTCATTGAGAGAAATGATGCCATCAAGTATAAAGTAGATAAGCATCCTCCTAAGATCAACCTTAAAATTTCCTCTGGGCCCTATCATCATGATTGACAGAAGAGTTGCTGATTTTGCAAGCTGCAAGTTAATTGGTAACTTAGGGTTCACACACAGGTTATGAACTGATTATCTTCTTTAGGATTTTGACCAATGTCTGATGCTTGTGCAGCTCAATGTTTGTAGGCTGTGCTAGTTTTAGAAGCCATGGTTGGAGTTTTTCTTAACTTTGATGCTGTTTTACCCAGATTCCAGTGAGGGTTTAAATCTGGTTTAAGGATTAGATATTGATTTTAGGCTTAGTATTTAATTTGGAATTGGTTGGAGATGTCATGGAGGGAAACACTGTTGGTTGAGCAATCTGATATGGGCTTGGCTTTTCTTCTGTTGAAGGCTTGAAGCCACCTGGTATGAAGTTCTCTGAGCAAAAACTTTTCATCTCCTATGCCTTTAAAATCAGCAGAACCTTGCTGTCCATAATTCAGAGGATCAGCATACTGCTGTCTTCATCTTCCATCTGTAGTATCAGTAATCTGTTTTCTTTTAACGTGCACACCTTGAACCTTAATCTCCATTGGAAATTTTGCTAATGCCCAACTAGGAAACATACAAGTAGATAAATTGGTTTGTAATTGACTCGGGATTACCATTAATGGAGTAATCTTGTTTAACATTAACCCACTTGCCACCTAGTTGCTTACACCCTATTTTCTTTTCAATTAAACTTTTGGATTTGCTCTAGCTGGGTTACCTTCAGTAATTAACTGAACGCACGACGCATGTTTTGGCAAACCCCACCAGGTTCCCCTTGTATTCAACGCAAGTTCTCCATTGGCTCCAATCAGGTTGATTCCAATCAATCTCTCACTTAATTCACAGGGAAGAAGTACGGAGATAAATCCTTTGGTTTCCATCATGGGCCCATGATCATGATGGAGACTAATTTCAAAATTTTAGTTTCTTTTGTTGGTTACCAAAATGGATGATTAATTCAGCTTGTAAATCATCTTTCATATCTATTTTGGCAGACTATTTCACTTATAATCTAGTATATGCAAATTAAGCCACATTGAATTGAAGGCCTAGTGGTTGGGGCTTGGGGCCTTGGCTCAAAAGGGCAAGGGTCAATTCGTGTCTATGGCATATGCCTATATCCAATTTCTAATTATTAGGCAACTGCTATTCACCCGGGTATGGACTGTGAAGGGGGACCCAGACCCAGGATTTACTTGGATGGTACTAAGCCAAGGTTTCTCGCACCAAAAAATAAAATAAATAATAAAATAAAATAAAAAATAAAAAATGAAGGCCTAGCAAAACATGCAAGCTTGAGAATTTTGGTAAGATCCACTGTGGGAGATGTCATATTGTGGATTGATTAATAAGTTTGAGACCATTATGAAGTTTTGATTATAATCATAACCATGTATACAATATCTCAGGTGGTTGATGCTTGGGCTCATCCCAGTGATCTCACACCCTATTTCCTTTTTAACCGAACTCTTGTCTTCATTCTAGGTGGGTTTCTTTCCATGTTCGCTTGAGTAAAAAGTCAAGCATTTAATCATTTTCAACTCATCAGGCCCTTTGTTTTTTCCTTCATTCATTAGGTGGTACTTTTTCGCTTCTGTAATGTAAAAATGCACTTCCTTCTATGACTAGGTGCTGAGTTGATTGCAGGCATCCTTCTTTGCTATGTTGCATTGAGAAGTGACTTAGGTGTTGTATGGTTTTGTTGATTGACATGATAAATGCAATGTGCATTGTATGGACAAAAAGTTCATAACAGAGGCTTTAATTCAAAAGATAAAAGATTTTGACTATATATAATCTCATTCCGGTATGAGTTTGTGCAATCAAAGTAAAACAAAGAATAATATTCTAGAGTCAAACTGTGAAGTTTTTGGTGAAGAGAAAAATAGAGAGCAAAGTTTAGACCTTTTCTGTACGAGTGATAGGGAGTTATGTCCATCGAGAATTTTCTGTGTAGTTATGGGCTAACAGTCAGGAGAATGGTTTAAAGCAGAACAATCCCACCACCTTGAGTGGTTATGGAAATAAAAGAATATTGTGCAAAAAGGTAGAAGAAGAGTTGAAGAGTGATACTGAGATATGAATATTGAGATATGAACGTGGAAAACCCTGCCAGGCAGAGGGAAAAACCATGGGGCAAATGTGAGAACTTTCTGCTATTAAGAAAAGGGATTACATCGGTTCAAGCTGATGCCTCCAACTTTGGCTTACAATAATGGAGAAATGACAATAGAGACCGATTTCCTTCAAGGTACAGTGGGTACAACAATACTTAACTATTTTCCATTCATGCAACATGGCAAAGGAGGGTGAACTCTACAAATCCTGTACCAACGTCTCACTACTGTAAGGCAACAAATCTCACAACATAGGTTAAAGCTCATCTTTTATTGCAAGCTTTGTTGTATTAATCTGGCCTACCAAGCTCTAAAATTCTCTAAGGTGCTTGGCAACTGAGGGTTCATCTCGAAATTTTGAGTTAACAAGCTTTCAAATAATGAGAGCATGTCATAGATTTTTTCCATCTTTGTCTGCAGGTCTTTGCATCCGTCTCATTAGTAATTTGTTGGCATATACTATTATACACCTAAAATTAAACAATGCAATTTGTCTTTGCAGTAAGTTTACTCCGAGCTTCCTTATACATGTTGCCAGATTTTGCATCCACCACAACAGGATGAAATAAGTCCTTGCAGTAATTATGATCCCACATCTTCTCCAAAACAGAATAGTTCGAAGTAGTGAGCTTGTTGGTATTTAAAGCTGAACAATCCTATTGTCCAATCCTCACGGGTTACTCTTTGATCAAATCAAATGTTAAACGTTTTATCTTGATCCCCAAGTGAGGGAGTACTCACTTCGAATAACCATATACATTTCATTCCTTTTACGAGCCTTGTTCTTATGGTTATCATTAGTGATTTGGGCTCATGGTTGAATTCTATGCAGGACTGGTGACTTTTCTACAAAGCAAATGGTATGTCACATGGTTGTATGAATCTAGATTTCCACAAGATTTCAGGTCCCTGCAGCCAAGCTCAGATGTTATCCCCCTTTTTCAACTCTTTGTAGTTGTTATGATAATGTAGCAGCAAAAGCTTTCCGGTCACTTTTTGTTTATTTCACCAAGCTGATTCTATCAGTGTATATTGCGTCATTTTTACACTATAGTATACAAGTTTGTCTATCTGCATATAAATCATTATATATCAATTGTGTGTTGGTGGAAGAAAAAAGTGGGTAATGTTTTTGAGTTTATACCTGCTATAGCGCATCTTGGTCAGCTCTCTGAAACCTTAACAGGATGAAACATTCAAGTAAATGTTTACTAGTTGAGAACTTGCATTTCTGTGATTCGTCATTTTGATTGTTTTCTACGTTGGACTTGTTCCTTTTGAGTTGGCAATAAAAGGTCAGAGATGTCTCCAGAGTTCAAATGTTTCAGGCTTCAATCTGCATGTATGTAGACAAACGTACGGTGTTTGTTTCCAGATGCAATGATTATGATGAGCTTCTTTTCTTGTGGTTTGAGTCATTGTGAAATAAAGCCCTGGGAAAATGTAATAATGCAATGACATATGAAGGGGATACAAGGATGGAGATGAAAAGTTTGGCTACAATTATAGGCACTCTATATCCTCAATCAATGAAGTGGAAGAAGTGCTCATCTTTGGTTCTAGAGAAAAAGACATTGTATCAATTGCAGTTGCTTCTATGCTTTCTTGGAGTTCAATTGCTTGCTTTTATGCTGTAATCTGTGCTCTCTAGATATATCATATTTCTAGATATATCATATTTATCTTAGCAATTAAGAGGTGAGAAAAGAGTGCAAACGGTTCGAATATTATACCTACCATATTCCTATCCACTTACGAATTACAAGTATGGATACATGCACTGATTTCTTAGTGGGCAAAATTCATATTTGCTAAAATTGGATATGAATATAAATATATATAGGTGGATATATATGTGGATGTATGTGAGGATGCAAAAATGGATATGAAAAAATTAGATAATATTAAAATAGTATAGTTTATATCATAACGAGAATGTTCATTAACATGTTCATTATATGTGAAAAACTAATATTAGATTTCTTAATCATCAAAATTAACCTTAGGTCCATTAATTTAATAAGGATTAAAATAATTTCAACGGTTACACCAACATATATTCGATATGGTTACAGATATCACTACATATTTGTATCAGTAATTATACCCTATTGGATACGGATATTAATAATCATATCTTTATCCAGATAGGGATATAGATATACGTGAATATTGTTTTTTTTCACACTTACGATTAGGGATGGTAAAATTGACCAAAAACCATTTGCTCACCCATACCCACTTTAAAACCCCGTAAATTTGAATATATGGTGATAAATATTATTTATTGATGTTTGAATATGCTAGCAATTGAAGTGAGATCAATCCAATGTATATATGTGAGGGTACAAGAGTATCATGCACGAAACATGCATAACAGACTGATTTAAGTCTGTCTAGTCGACTACTATTGTTAGTAGTCGACTACTAAGGTCATTAGTCGACTAATAAGGATATTAGTCGACTAGTCGGACTGTTTCCAGATTCCTAATGAGTTTCGGGTCGAATTCGTTCTGTTTCAAACCCAAGCGTATACCTAAGTTTATATACTTGTTTTAAAGCCCTTTTAATCATCTTTCACGTGAATTTAATAGCAGCCACATTCTTCCTCAAATCCTAACCCTAAATTGTGAGTTTTGAGAGAGATCTCAAGGCGTTTGTCGAGAGAAAGGCGGGGCTTTGCGGTTTTTGGCGGAGAGGAGATCTTGCGCGCGTGTTTGAGGAGCTGCGGCACGTTGTTGAGGCAAGATCACTTGCATCCAATCCTATCCCGTAGTTTATAATTGCTTTAATATGTTTAAATCTTGGTTTTCATGTTAAATCTTAACCTAAGGTGTTAAAAGTTAGGTTTTTTTGTTGTCAAACTGAAACTCATACTAGATCTGAATGTAATTATTGTTGTTACATTAGTTTCATGATCATGATCAATAGGTTTGCTTTTAATTTTATTTTTACCTTGTTAATTATGGTTAAATCATGTGTTAACCCTAATCTTGCTATTTAATTGAGTTTACATGTAATCAAAGATGACAAAACCCTAAGTTTGTGATACTTATGTGCTACAACCATGTCTAAACGTTTTCATATTTGTTTTAATTTAATTTGCATCATGCCTATGTTAATTATGTTGATAATTTATAGGTTAATTGAAGAAATTGATTAAACAAGATGTTAAACCCTAATTAGACTAAGTTAATTTTATGTTTCATGATCAAGTTGGTCTCTGTTGAATATTTATCCTGTTTAAACCTTGTTTAATACCTAATGATAAGTGCACGTTAAGTGTTGTTCGTGCATGTGAAATTTATGTTTTATAGGGTAGTCGACTACTAATTAAGCTTAGTAGTCGGCTACTCTTTCTCAGATTCATTACACAAATTTAATCATAGCAGATAAGTCGACTAATATCCTTAGCAGTCGACTATTGATATTGATTCTTGTCTTCACAGAGTCTGGATAGACTCAGTGTAGTCGACTACTAAGTTTAGTACTCGACTACTAAGACAGTTTTCCTGATTTTTGTTTTGCACCGTTTCGAGATGCGATCGCGGAGTTCGAGCCGCACTTTGACACACGTACAGTCATGAATATACACGAATAGTGTCATAATATACATATGGGTACCCCGATGGGGATTATGACAAGTATTAATCCGTTTGCACTTGAGATATAAGATATACACACGTTATACACATGTTTGGATATCGTTGATGAGCTCAGCTCAGTACTACGTGGGATAGTGTGTCGATATTTTATTTGTACAAGTCATTGAGTCAGGTTTTAGGATACTTTATCTAGCAGTATGTCCCGCACTAGTGTGCGATGAGGCTTGTGAGCCGTATTTTCAGGATGCCTATTTGGTAGTTTGTCCCGCACTCGTGTTACGTATAGAGATGCGATGAGACTAATGAGTCATGTACACAGTTAGGATACCGACTTGGTAGTCCGTTCCGCATGATAATGCGATGAATCATAACTTGCAAGGATTTGCATTGTGACGACTGTTGATAGCCTGATTCTTTGGTGAATGCTATTTATGAGCATGACTCATTGCTGAGATATATGACCGAGATACTTTGCTCTTGAAAGTACGCAAGACTATTATGCTGATATTTATTTTATCTTCCAAGTGATAGTGGAAGATATTATAAATATGATATATTGATGTCTTTTACTTTTCCATACTATTTTCATTATTTCTTAGTTGGAATCAACGATTAGCGATTCATAATTTAAGACATATGATATATATATGAGAGTTGATACGAGTTGCCATGCGAGCATCCTTTGGTCGCGGAATTACCAAAAGGTGGGTTGAGAAGAAGACAACTAAAACATAAAAACAATTCAGTATGGCGAAGAAAAATACCTTCTCTAGATTATGAAGAATCAATTATTACAAATCTCTCCCTATGGCGAAGAAAAATACCTTCTCTAGATTATGAAGAATCAATTATTACAAATCTCTCCCTCACAATCTCACTAGAATCGAGAACAACCTCTCAATCCTCTTTAAACCCTAATACAATGATTAGAATCTCTCTTAATTACCTCTCATTCTAAGATCTCATAGATCCTCACAATCTAAACCCTAATCATTTTTATTAGGATCTCACTTAGACCTAAAACCCTTTAGATCTACATCTTGGCCTCTCACCTCTCTGTTTAGAACCCTAAACAGTCCCTATTTGTAGGGTTTACAACGTGGTGGTAATCTGGTAAATAACTAGACCAAACCGAAATAGGAAAACACGTAAACAGAATCCTTAATGAATCTGGAAAGCTTCAATGAGTCGACTCATGAACAGTTATGAGTCGACTCATGACCTCATATGAGTCAACTCATAACTAATGAGTCGACTGGTCAGAGACGTTTTGCTATCAGGGCTTGATTTCTTGAGTCGACTCAAACATACACATGAGTTGACTCATGAGGCTGAAAACTAAGGCTTCGATTCTTTGATTCTTCGCCTCGCTCCACGCTCCATCCTGTGCTTCGCCGTATCGCTTCACACCACTATTCTTAAGATATCATGAGAATCACCTATCCTCAATCTCCCATGAGGATCGTTTTTTCCGAAAAGAAGATACACTCGTATCAAGGGTTTTCTTGTTTGGATTATTTCGCTCGACGTACCAATCTCGTGTTGTGGGTTTCTAATTGTTGATTTTATTTAGGTTATTTATTCTTAGTTCGGTATTAATGTTTAGACATCTACAATTTGAGACATATGGTATATACATGAGGGTTTACTTGTTTAGATTATTTCGCTTGGCGTACTACGTCTCGTGTTGTAGGTTTCTAAATGTTAATTTTACTTAGATAAAGGGTAAATGATCTAGGTAGACTATGCTTAATAGATAGAGCTTCCACTTCATCTAGTAGCCCTTCCCCTGGGGGCGGATGGATGTGATCTTGTTGTAGTGCTCTGATAATCATATTTTATTACAATTTTATACCCTCATTATCTATTTTATATGAATAAATATGCTACTAATAATTGTTCTTATCTTTAATTACAGGTTAATGAAGAATAAATCTCAAACTCCAATCTCTTAACAAAAAGCCATTGATTTAATGAAGAAATGAAGCCCATGAAGCCAAAGGAATTCTTTCAAATATTTAATGAAGAAATAAATCAAAGCCCAGTGGAAAAATCAAGAGAAAATGCCAAAGTCCAAATGTCAAAGCCCAAAAGTCCAAGCTAAAGCCAAAGACCCAAACCCAAAAGCCAAATACAAGAGGATCTGCGGACAGCACACAGGAGAAGGGCAGGCATCGATGCCTGCATCGATGCTCGCATCGATGCCTGTATCGATGCATGCATCGATACCCTGGACAGTTAGTTACGAATCTAAGGCTGATTTTTGATGTTTTTGGACAGTTAGTTACGAACCCTCTTGCCTTAGATTTATTTCATGCTTATAGATTAGATTTATTTCATGCTTATAGAATAGATTTATTTTCTTACATTTAATTCTTGTAATTTATTTTGTAGTTTAGATTTTGTAATTTATTTTGTAGTTAGATTTTAATTTCTTATACTATTCACCTTGAGGCTAGAACCCTCTTGGGTTTTGTTTTTCTTTTTGTTTATTTTTATTTTGTTTGATTCGCCTTTAGGCTAGAACCCTCTAGAGAATCACCTA